CAAGGAAATGAAAGGCACTGCAGACTCCTTCAACCAGAGAAGTCAGCCATAGCAGAGCACCTGATGAACCAGCCTGGACACAGCATATTATTTGAGAACACAGAAATGCTGGACCACTCCAACACCCACCATGTCAGGCTACACAGAGAAGCCATTGAAATCCACAAGCATGTGGACAATTTCAACAGAAAGGAAGACATGAAAATGAACAAAATCTGGCTACCAGTATTAAAAAACTCTAAAATTATAACAGCTAAACAACAGAGAGGAAAAAACCAGGCACAGATTAACACCTCCCAGCAACAGATTTTCCCAGACTCAGGCAGGCCTTCAAATGCTAATGAAGGTGATCAGCTAAACATTCACACCTAACTGCAGCATGGAAGAGCTCCTTGCCCCACCCCAGCCATTCCACAGATATATAAACCCATTTTCCTACTTCCAACAGACCTCAACCTCTGAGGATGCTTGCCATAGATGCAGGCGAAACATCAGGAGAAATGCCTCTAGAACATGGCTCTATAGCCCGAAAAAACCCACAAGAACCTAGTGAATTTATTTTTATTAGGCACATGACCTGCATTTGAAAATCATCCAATAACAGTGTACAACATGAAAAAAATAGTACATGGATCACCTTGGGCAAGTCACAAACTCTCCCTGAGGCTGAGAGTTTGTGACTTGCCCAAGGTGATGAGGTTTCCATGGTCAAACAAGAATTTGAATCTTTTTCACTCAGAGTTCATCCACCACACTGGCTTCAGTAAATTAATAAAGAAATTAAACCTATTACTAATGGATTGCTTCATAGGATGATGTCCAAGATCTACAAGAAAATCTGTATCCACATTCTTGCATCCTAATCTAATGCATGCTCATTCAAACAGACCATACCGAATTATATAAAAATCACAGAAATGAATATCAAAGAAACAGACTTATGAATCATTTATCTCAAGAGAAAATCCAGTATATATATACCTCTGTTAACAACCTCTGAGAAAGAAGCTGCCTTTTACAAAGTCTTTTTACACTTCTAGCCCCACTTCTGCCATTGACTTCTGATTATAGGGATGACTTTTGGCAGGGTTAGCATTGGGAGATTGGACTTCAAGTGGTCTCTATGAGGTTCAACATGTTTTTGTTTAACTATGCGAGGCTTATCTGATTAACTCATTTTATATGAATACACTGTTAGTTTTGTATATAACATTTGCTGAAACATACTACACTATTGTTCTTTTTTGTGGCACAGGAATCTATTTTTCCATGTTATTTCTACTACAAAATCTTTTTATAGGAAGACAATAGCTTTATTAACTGAAGTAAACCTGTACGATCCAAACAAATAAATGCCAATCAACAAATTCCCACCATGCAAGAAACAGAGCACAGGTGAAAAAGATTACCTGTCAGTCCTAGAGGCAACACTGGTCCATCAGCATCCTCAGCCACTTCTTTCTCAGTCAGATTGCCACCATTTTCTTCTTCAGGGTCCCCATTTATGGTCTCTTCTTGTACCTCTGCTTCCTCTTCTTCAGACTTGGCTTTTTTCGTTTCTGCACATAAACAAATAAATAAATGTATGTTAACAGTAGAAAGCTGCATATCTCTTAATTGGTTGTTGTTGTCTGCCTTTTGAATTGTTTCTGACTTACACTGATCCTAAGGCAAACCTATCATGGGATTTTCTTGGCAAGATTTGTTTAAAGATTTGCCTTCACCTTCCTCTAAGGCCGAGAAAGTGTGACTTGCCCAAGGTCACCCAGCACATTTCTCTAGCTGAGCAGGGATTTAAATCTGGTCCCTCCAACGCACAAGCCACTACACACTATGCATTTTACATAATGCTTTGCCCAACAGCTGGCATCCAGAGTAACACCATGTTTTGGTTGCCTGTTCTTTGTGAAACAAATGCATTTATCAGCATGCATTTAACACTGGAGGTATCACTGAACTATCAATATCATAGAACAATAAATAATTAAAGTATGAAAATAAAACAAAATCAACAATTTTTTTTAAAAAAATCAAAGACATTTGATTATACCATTTTCTGTGTCATCCACAATTTTTCTCTTCTTTTTCTTCTTCTTTTTTTTCAATTCAGGTTGGGTACATTCAGTTTCTTCTGTCTCTTGTATTTCATTAGCCTGATCCACATCCTTTGTTCTGTGTCCCTCCACCACATTGGATGTATTGTCGTCTTCTGGGTGGTCATCAACTGCATCTCCTAATGGAGCACATATTTGTGAGAAATCAAACATGCCATAAGAATAATTTACAGTTCCAGTTAAAAAAACAAAATTAAAAACTCCGCACCCCATTGACTGTGAAATGCTTCTCACGCTATCTCAAACCAACCAACCATCTTTAATTTCTAACATTCAAGATGGCCAACTTAGAAACATTTTTGTTAGTTTCGTAGAAGCAGTCCCAACAGGCAAAATTCGTAAAGATCACATGCAAACATGTTCAGTATCACTAAAAAAAAAATGATGCACTTTTTCATATACACAAGGAAGAATAATCTTGCAATTCTAAACCACACTAATTAGGGCCTCATCATAGTAGAGAGAAAAATCCACTTAGATTCTGGTTTCTGTCTCCTGCAGAATTCTGAGATTTGTAGTTTAGAGAGGAGCCTTTAACAGCCCCCCCCCCCACAAACTACAAACCCCATAATTCTGCAGGAGGCAGAAACTGGAATTTAAGTTGATTTTTTCTCTACTGTGATGAAGTGGTAAGCATCCAGAATTTAACTAACACAAGGACATTCAATGGCCAGTCCCCTAGGAGCAACTTTTCCTTAAGAGGCTCCTCTTCATTCTTCCTCTGGAACCATTCCACTTCAATTTAACAACTGTGTAGACTATTGATAGCAATCAGAATCTGTTTTGATGAACTTCTGCCTTGTGCCTCTGAATACAACAGACTAGAAACACGCAACTTTACAGCAAACATTGCTTCACACAATGAGCATCTTAAACGTGTCAGCTTTCATCTGCCTAGCTTCCGAAACACCATGTGGAGGCATAAAGTTTTTTAAATGTCTATGAGAAGACTGTTCAATTCCCACAATTCCTAACAGCCTATTTATTTATTTCACTTGTATACCGCTTTTCTCACTTCGGGGAGGATGGGGACTCAAAGCTGTTTCCAACATATTTATGGCCAAATTCAATGCCTCATAGACATATAAAACCTAACACAGAGCAATCATAATATCAGGGGCGGCTCAACCATTACGCAAAGTAAGCATTTGCAGTATAGTTGATTTTGCCCAGGGGCGCTCTTGAGGTGCTCTTGGGGAAAAATAGACATTGACATATGCGAGTTGTAGTTACTGGGATGTATAGTTCACCTACAATCAAAGAGCATTCTGAACTCCACCAATGATGGAATTGAACCAAATATGGCACACAGAACTCCCATGATGAACAGAAAATATATATCAGTGATTGGTTGGGGATGGGGGGGGGGGCAAAATACTGTTTGCTTACCATTGAAAATTACCTAGGGCCGCCTCTGCATAATACATATATATAGATATATAGATATATAAAATAATCATAAAAACATAACATTTAGACAATTAAAATGTGGAGTTAAAAACATATCAATATAAATGTTAAAATCACAAAATCCAGAAATCATGGTACAATGTTTTTACAAATGTCAAATATCAATTGCACATAATCCCTGATCATTCCTTGTATTTCTTACTGCCCAAAGGCTTGGTCCCATAGCCAAGTTTTTACTTTTTTTCTGAAAGCCTGGAGGAAGGGCACTGATCTAATTCTGTTGGGGAGGGAGTTCCATAGTTGAGGAGACACCACTGAGAAGGCCCTATATATCACCCCCACCTGTCGCACCTGGGAGGGGGTGGGACTGAACGCAGGGCCTTCCCAGATGATCTCAATCTCCGAGGTGGGTCATAGAAGGAGATATGTTTGGACAGGTAAGCTGGGCCAAAACTGTTTAGGGCTTTATAAGCTAAAGCCAGGACTTTGAATTGTGCTCGGTAGCAGACTGGTAGCCAGTGGACCTGGCATAACCAGTTTTTTTTTGGTCGTGTCAGGAGCGACTTGAGAAACTGCAAGTCGTTTCTGGTGTGAGAGAATTGGCTGTCTGCAAGGACGTTGCCCAGGGGACGCCTGGATGATTTTGATGTTTTTATCATCCTTGTGGGAGGCTTCTCTCATGTCCCCGCATGAGGAGCTGGAGCTGATAGAGGGAGCTCATCCGCCTCACCCTGGATTCAAACCTGCAACCTGTTGGTTTTCAGTCCTGCTGGCACAAGGGTTTAACCCACCAGGGGCTCCACATAACCGTGTGTGTGTGTGCTCCCTATAAGCTGCTCCAGTGAGCAGTCTGGCTGCCACCCATTGGACCAACTGGAGCTTCTGAACAGTCTTCAAAGGCAACCCCATGTAGCGCACATTGCAGTAGTCTATTCAGGATATAACCAGAACGTGGACTACCATGGCCAAGTCTGACTTCCCAAGGTATGGGCACTATTGGCGCACCGGCTGACAGGAATTGTGGGAGTAGAAGTCCAAAACATCCGGAGGGCCCAAGTTTGCCCATGCCAACTTTGATCCCTTTTTTACAGTTTACTTGTGAGCAACTGTCTTCAAACTGTCAATCAGCTTATAGTGGCCCCATAAACTTTCCTTAGGCAAGGAATGCTCAGAGATGGTTTGGTCTTAACGAGGGCTGACGTGCTCATCTACACTGTAGAACGACTGCAGTCTGATATCGCTTCCAAGGAGATCATGGGATTGTACTCTGCTGCCTTTGGAAGTGAAGACTCGAGGCCTTGTAAAACCACAGCTCCTGGGATTCCCTAGTCCTGCGCCAGGGCCGTGGAGGCGGTGTCAGGCGGCCGGCCTGCCTTCCTTCCTTCCTTCTCCGCATTCAGCGCCCCTTTCGCTCCCCAGCTCCCTTACCAGGCGGAGCCCCAGCCGCTCCCTGCTGGGCCAAATTGCGCTGCCGGATCTTGAGGTTCCGCTTGTGGAGCTTCTTCCGCAGCAGCCGCATCGGCAGGTTTCCCGTATTGGCCGCCATCGCAACGCAGCCGGTAGGAAACACGTGCGCCGAGGAAGGAGAGCCGCCAGGAAGGAGGAAGAGAGACCCAAAATGGCGCCGCCAGCTGACACGCCGCGACTTCCGGTGCTCGTCTTCGCATCTTCCCCCGCGTCGAGGACGGCAAACCTACAGCGGCCCCTAGTGGCAGGGAGGAAGCGGCGCCCTCTGCCGCATACGAACTTTCCTTTTGCCCTTCCTTTTGGCGCTTTTCCTATAGGCTGAGGCGGTGGAACGGAAGGGAATGGAGAACAGCGATTGGCTGCTTCTTTGACTGACATACACCGCGTTGCCTGGGAATGTGGGCAATCCAGCTAGCACAGCCATGGGCAAACTTCGTCCCTCCCTCCAGGTGTTTTGGACTTCAACTCCCACAATTCCTAACAGCCGGTAGGCTGTTAGGAATTGTGGGAGTTGAAGTCCAAAACACCTGGAGGGAGGGACGAAGTTTGCCCATGCCTGAGCTAGAATGTTATCTATAATGCAGTTTGAAACCGCGTTATATGGGTCTACACTGGCCACATAATGCATTGTATGACAGTGTTGATGGGTCCAAAGTTGCTACACTGCAGAATTAATGCACTTTGGCACTCCTACAACTGCCATGGCTCAAAGCTATGGAATGCTGGGAGTTGTAGTGTTACAAGGCCTTCATCCTTCTCAGCCAAAACAGGGCTGGAGCCTCACCAAACTATAACTCCCAAGATGCCATTACAGTTAAAGTGCTTTCAGGCAGCATTATTCCTACAATGTAGATCAGGCATGGGCACACTTGGGCCCTCCCTCCAGGTGTTTTGACTTCAACAATTCACTCCTATCAGCTGTTAGGAATTGTGGGAGTTGAAGTCCAAAACACCTGGAAGGAGGGCCCAAGTGTGCCCATAGCTGGTGGAGATGCACCTACAAGGGAAGGTATTCTGCCCTTTGCCTGGCTTTTAATATCTTTATTACCATTTTGCCAGCCACGGTGCTCTCTCACAAGGAAACTAATTTTAAAATTATATTAATTACTTAATTAATTGAGACACTGCTAAATAGTTAACACTTCCTTGCATTCATTTTTGCATTGGTGTTGAATCCCTATGACTCAAGGATTTGGTGAGGTACCGGAGACGTTCAGTTTTCAAAACTTTAATGCAGGTGTTTCTTTTCAGAGGTAAGAACAAGGACAAAGGGGAGGGGAGGAGTAAAATAATGGATAGGATCTTTCACATTTGTTCTGCTGAGGCTTCTGTTGTAGTTGTTATAGTAATAACAACTTATAGTAACCTTATGGCAAATGTGTCGATTTTCTTGGCAAGATTTGTTCAGAGGCTGAGAGACTGTGACTTGCTCAAGGTGTCACCCAGTAGGTCTCATGGCTCAGCAGGGATTTGAACCTGGTTTCCATGTTGAGTGATTTCAGCTACTGCTAAGCCATAAGCACATGCCAGAGTCGAAATAGCAGAGAAGGCTATTTTTCTAGAGAAAAGTCATAAAATGCATGGGGGAATTTGACGTAAAAAAACAACATAATTGATTTCATTTATTTATTTACGTTATTTCTATCCCGCCTTTCACAAGCATAGGCGACTCAAGAAGACTCACAAATTGGCAGTAATTCAATGCCATAACAATCCACAATATACAATTAAAACATTTAAAACAACATTGAAAAATCCATACAAAAACAATTAAAAACATATAATAACCAGTGTCTTCCTATTAATCTCAGTTTCCAGTAGCATTGTCTAAGCCTTTCCATGTTTCAATCTTAGATAATTCCGTGTTTGTCTATTGCACTGCATTTCCAAAGGCTTGTTCAAAGAGCCAGGTGTAAATATTACATCATTTACATTTTTATTGTAAATATTATAATATGACTGCACTGGGCTTGGTGTTTGTTCAGACATATCTTTTATCAGAAGAATTTGCAGAGAAAATGCCAATCTGTATTTGCTGCCAAGACTTTACTAATCATGGCATTGGCAATATAAATAAAGCTAACTCTTTCACACTGCACTACTACAGCACATTGATACCACTTTAACCTCCATGGTTGCTTTCTATGGGATCCTGGTATCTGTAGTTTAGTCAGAGGCAGCAGAGGAGGCCTTTGGTAGATAATCCCAGGATTTCTATAAAATAAAACCAAGGCAGGTAAAGTGGCACTAGAATGGTTTGTAGTGTAAAAGAGATAAGGGTTCTGGTAGGTTTGTAATGTTCCTACCATGAAATCTTTCCAATTCCTGTGTTGGACTGTCAATTTAGGATCCTTAGCTAAATTCCTGGGACATTGGTAGGGCATTTTCTTTTCACTTGTCAGAACGCTGAAATGTTAAACATCCCTTTTCTGCCAGCAGCAAGGTACGTGTGTCCATTTTATTTCTTTGAAGAATGCACCCCTCTCTGTGAGCAAACTTTTGGGGGCAACAGAAAGTGGTGCAAACAAGACAGTTATTATGTGGAAATTTGATAGTCACAAACCACCAGCAGAGATAAATTCTTAGATATATGAATAATGAATTCCTGGTTTTGACTAAGGACTTTCTACAACTTTTAAAAGGTTTTCACGTGGATGTGAGTGAAGAGGAAAAAATATTTTACTGCATTTAATGCATTTTATTTTTCTTCTACCCAACTATTTTCTTTTTGATAGGGGTTATATAAAACCATTTGATACAAATATGATTATAAAATGTGATATAACTAGGTTTTTGGGCCAAAATTATGGATTTTGATATGACCCACTGATAAGTTGAGGGTCATATCTAGTGGGGAAAGAGCTTGAACAACCCCGCTTCTGACTTTCTTGAATGCCATTTTCCCATCCACGCATTCAAGAAAGACAGACATGACACCACAACAAGGAGAGTAGACTTCTTAAGTACCTTTCACCACTCTATTCTTAGATGGTCCCTTTTTCAATAAGAACTTAAGTACACTATTGCCCTTTGTGACACAATGGGCTAAACCACTGAGCTGCTGAACTTACTGACCGAAAGATTGGTGGTTCGAATCAGGGGAGCAGAGAGAGCTCCCGCTCTTAGGCCCAGGTTCTGCCAACCTAGCAGTTCAAAAACATGTACATGTGAGTAGATCAATAGGTACTGCTTCTGCGGGAAGGTAACAACACTCCATGCAGTCATGCAGGCCACATGACCTAGGAGATGTCTATGGACAACACCTGCTCTTTGGCTTAAAAATGGAGATGAACACCACCACACCCCACACATCCCCGGACACGACTAGACTTAATGTCATGGGAAACCAACTCACATGAACCCATGGATAAGTTGATCCAGTTTTTTGAGGTCAATTTTTTACGAAAATTATTACACTATAAGCATGGATTACGTTTTTTAACAAGATCGCTTGAGTTTAAAAACAAAGAAACAAAAGATGTCTAAACAATCGGGGTAAAACTTCAGAAGAAAGTTTGGGATGACGGGGATGAGCAAAGATTTGCTGGCTGACAACTTTGTGAGAGTAACCTTGGGAATGCATTTCAAGTTGTCACTGAAGGTAAGGAGCTGCTAATTGGACGTGCAGATCCTTTGTGCAGGCTTCATTCTATCTGACTTAGAGAGACATTTCAAGCACCACTTGTCACAATTTGTGATTCTAAATCTTGACAGTTTCCTGAAGCATCCTTTCCCCCGAGGAGCAGAGGAGGATGTCAACTAATTTAACCTTGCCTGCCTTACAGCAGCGACTCTCTATTTTTGGAGGAGGAGTTGGGAACCCTTCGGTAAGCCCAGCACCACTTGAAATGTTTGACCTTTCAGAAGCGTTTCACACCCGTAGACCACTCAGCAAAGCACATACACAGCAGTAGCAAAAACAGATGCTCCACAATATTTATTTCTTAATATATTTTTCTGACCCTAGATTGATTGATTCTGGAACATATGGTAAGCCCAGTATGAGGGTGATTGAAATGGAATAGCTTTGCTGAAAATAGAAAGCCGGTATAATTTTTTTTATTCATCAAAAAAAAAAAATACAACATATTTTAGTTGGATGACCCAACTTTTTTGTCTGTACGGTATATGTGGGTCTTAGGCAATGCCATAGCACAAGAGTTGCAGGACATCAGTTTATTTTAGGATATTTTCCAATCTTGTCTTGAACAATTCTTTAGTGCTTTACTCAAAAGAATTAGAACATTGTTTTGTAAATATTTAGAGAGTGTCACTTTACGTGTATTCTATTCCATCTGGTTTAAAACTGATGTGTTTTATATGCAGTTTGCCATGAGGTATGTACATATATGTGCCTTCACCTGTCAACTTGTGGCAACCCCATGAATTTGATAGGCTTTCTTAACTAAGGAATATACAGAGGTGGCTTTGCCAGTTCTTTTCTCTGACGTCCCTTCTATGTTTCCATATAAAATCCAGATTATCTGCTTTGAACTGGATTGTATGGCAGTGTAGACTCCAGTTCAAATCAGATAATGTGGATTACCTACTTTGATAATCTGGATTATATGGAAGTATAGAAGGGGCCTTCTGAACAGCCTTGTAAACTAGGACAAAGAATTGAGGCAAAAAAAGTGATACCTGAAAGCAAGTTCGAACATGAGCTTTCAGTCCCAACAAATAGTCCCCTGGAGTCCCGAAAGATGTTGTAGGTTCAAATCTGGGGAGAGTGCGAATGAGCTCCCTCTGTCAGCTCCAGCTCCCCATGCGGGGACATGAGAGAATGAACAAGGATGGTAAAACATCAAAAAAATTCGGGTGTCTCCGAATTGGCCTTTTTGCAGACAGCCAATTATCTCAGACCAGAAGCGACTTGCAGTTTCTCAAGTTTCTCCTGACACCAAAAAACTCCCCCCAAAAACGGATTTTAGAAATTTGAAAAATGGATGCAGAACATCCTCTGGAAGTTTTCTTTTAATTTTTTTATTGACTCTCTGAGATGTGCTGGGCGTGATAAGTGATGATGCAGATAAATGAATGTACACACTAGCAGATTTCTTATTATCTCTCCTCACCCTCCTGCAGCCTTTACATTTGCCCTCTTAAACCCCGCTTCCCTTTGCGGTCACTTGCCTGCCATGCTGGCACCTACTGTGTAAATTCAAG